CAGGAGTAAAAAGTTTTAAAACTCACTTTAAAAAGATAGCCTCAGGATGTAAATATACTTTCGAAGAACTCAGTACGCTCTTATGTAGAATTGAGGCGTGTCTCAACTCCCGACCTCTGAGCCCAGCCTCAAACGAGCCAACTGATCTGGAGCCCCTCACTCCAGGCCACTTCTTAATCGGTGGACACATTTTAGCGCCACCAGAAATCGATGTAAACGAAAACCCTGTATCGATAGTTAACCGGTGGCAAAAGCTAAAAGCATTACACCAGCACTTCTGCAGAAGATGGAAGACCGAATATCTCACAGAACTACAGAAACGCTTAAAATGGAAGCGTCCTCAATCCAACGTAGAACTTGAAGATCTAGTCGTTATAAAGGAGGACAACCTACGGCTTAACGAGTGGAGACTGGGAAGAGTGGTAAAGTTGCACCCAGGTTCCGACAACCGAGTGCGCGTAGTTGATCTTATGACCGAAAAGGGGGGAGTGACAAGACCACTGGTGAAACTGGTACTATAACCACGCAACATGGTGAAAACTAATGAACCAACAGCTTCTACGTAATCAATGTCAAGTGTAAACCTTTAGGGTTCTTAAAAACAAAAAAATTATCAAAATTTACTGAATTCCACTTCTGCTACTCCTATCATATCCCACCTCATTAGTTTGCTCACATTAAAAAAAAAAAACATAAAATCTCAATAGCAGCAAATAAGCGGAGATTGCCAATTTGTTAAACAATATGATCCCAGATGAATTAGTAAGAGAGTTTATTTTTCGCAGAATAATCTTTTCACAACAACGCAAATGTGCAAATGAAATTCAAAATTTTAAACAATCACTGCCAAACATTCTTACTACTTCACCTGGTATAGCTGCATCAGGGACAAACAACAGTATACATACTTATGCATAATCAGGAGACAACTTACCGCAACTCCCACTGAGCTCCTGGAGTCTTTGTTGTCAGCTTCGAGTGAGGAATCAATTCACTTCAGTTTCGGGAGCTCATCCATTTCGAATACTTGGTTGGCCAGTTGATCACCCGCATACTCAGCGGCAGGCTACCAACATTATAGCATTCAATTGTCATCAGATTTTTTTTTCGATTTTCGTTTAACACTCTTTGCTTAACCTTGTTCTGTAGTTAACTTAGTTGTTTAGGCACACCACTGTCTAGAAATTAAACTTATTCACCCTGATTACAAATTCTCGTTCACCGTGCAGTTCAAATCGCTACACGGATTTTCTTTGCTGATCACCCCCTGTTGCACGTAAACACTATAACGCATGGATTTATCTGGGACTGCTTCAACAGCATTTAATAATTAATATTTAAAAATAATTAAGATCCAGCATTTGTCATAATGGTAATATACGTGCGGAAATTCCTGCAAATCGTGTTTACCAAATATAAACAGCAGTTGAGTAAACGAATAGAATCCTGGTTTTCGTTTTTATATTATCAGCCATACTTATGATCTTCACGAATATAGGTGTATGTGTATGTACGCACAACCAAGAAAAAACAAGTAAATAGTAAAATCAATTCTGATTTAACGAGAGTGTTTTAAAGCCAAATTAATTGTTAGTGAAATATTCTTCAGCTAATACCCTGACATAGCCTTTAAAATGAGAACAACACTGTATGTTTAGGCCAACGGCCTAAATTTGTCGCAGCATTTTCGACCCACCCTAATGCTTAACATAGCTTCATTATTATGTCAACTGTCGAACTGTTTACCACTATGTTACTTATGCTAAAATGTCCCTTCGGTAAATATACAGTTCGACAGGCTACAGTAAGAATAAATTTAAACCGGTCACTTACTTGTTTTCCGAGAGTGAATCCAAGAGGACGCGTTCCAGCCATTGTGTTCCTGAGTCAAATCAAAGGTAACCTGTAAAACCAAATATATACATACATATATTAATACCAATATCGATATTGAATAAACACGAATTTATATTTAA